ATTATTCAATGAGACAACAATTCATTGATGGTATTAGGACAAAGAGGTTATTGTACAACCCTCAACAGCAGGCAGAACCATGTGGTTTAGTTTTTCTCATATGTGTAGGCCGTATGGTCTATGGATACTTGTTTTATTGGAATTCATACAAAATCTCATTATTTCAATAAATTTACAAGTAGATTCCCTGATCTGTCTGATGTAACAAAAACTTTAAGGCCAACTGATGTAAACCAAAATCTTAACTCAACTACACCATAATGTATCATGTTCACGGAAACACGAAGCTCAAACTAAAAGAGATATGGTTTGGATTGCGTATGTTGTTTTCGTATTTGCATATTCACTCTTACAGGCATACACTTTCTTCGTGTTTGTTTGCAAATGCATTTTTTGTAAGCATTTTTAAAACAATTTCTCCAAACAGTAAATTATTTGGGAATTGCTAGTATGTGACATTTCAATTATTTATACTAGATACATGTACTTGGACGCAAAGATGTATGAGATTGTGTAAATAGAACATAATTATTTCTGTTGGGGATCATTTACAGTGAAAGAATTTGAAACGACAATCCACACTATTACACAAGGGAGGGGGGATCATTTACAGTGAAAGAATTTGAAACCACAATATTACACAAGGGGGGGGGGGATCATTTACAGTGGAAGAATTTGAAACCACAATATTACACAAAGGGGGGGGGGGGTCATTTACAGTGAAAGAATTTGAAACCACAATATTACACAAGGGAGGGGGGATCACTGATTTACAGTGGAAGAATTTGAAACCACAATATTACACAAGACACATTTCTAACACCTTCCTGTCTTGTTGGTTTTAGAACCTAATGCATTGTGGAGATTGAAAATAAAATAGACTTAACAAACAAGAAATGTTATTCATGCAGTCTGGTTGAAACAAGATAACACGCTTTAAAGGTAGCATGTACCATGGTAACTACAAATATCAAGATAGTGAATGTATGTTTACTACATTTTGTTATTAGAAATTCCTTATTATCTGTTTCTCACGAACTATATCTTGCACAGGTAACTCATATTTCTAAAATATGGCTTCATAATGAATATGTCGATTAAGTTCAAGTTAATATGACCACAACTTCATGGTTAACTGCATTAAGCCAAATGTTAACCTGAATCAGAAATGGGTTGGACGGACTTGGAGACAGAGACTGTGAAACTTCATACCCACTTCTATAGTAGGCGAAGCATACAAATGGCACATGCTATATAAAGTGAATGAATTACGATGCTTATCTATTCTTTACTGATCTCAAATCTTCCAATGTCAACGCCCCACATTGAATTGAGCTAACTGTTGAATTTTAAATCAAATTTAGATATTGACTTCAGATTAAGTCATTTTAATTTCTCTAAGCTTTGTAGTTTTCTGTTATTGATACGAGTATAGGTTGAAAGGCTACATCTCTAACTAAAAGTTAGCTTACGACTATATATGGTTCTTAACCCATTGCTATTTACTCTCTGACATCTAATAAACTTTATTACGACTTGCTAAAGTTGTTGGACATGGGAGCGCAGCCCACGTAACATTACCTTCTGCCCAGATTTTGGGTTAGCAAATTTAATCTTTGAAATCCTATATATTGTAGATATATTTATCATTAATAGTTCAATCCTTTATGGGTTGATTTAAAATACATATATAAGTTAGCAATGAATGTGGTTGTTAAATTTGATAGATGCTTTTTTTGCTTCTTTGTTAAATGTTTGTTTGTTTTGAGATTGTGACATAGTGATGACTGCTGTACCCATATTTTGACAATGTTACCTGTTGTGTCTGTTATGTTCACGCATCGTTGTAAATATAATGGAATCTGATGCGACTGTCATACAAGTGAGAGGTTTGGCGCTATAAAACCAGGTTCAATCCACCATTTTCTACATTGGAAAATGCCTGTACCAAGTCAGAAATATGACAGTTGTTGTCCATTCGTTTGATGTGTTTTATCATTTGATTTTTCCATTTGATTAGGGACTTTCCGTTTTCAATTTTCCTCGGAGTTCAGTATTTTTGTGATTTTATTTCTTGCACTTTTTTATTATCTCTTAGAATCATTAAGAAATTTATAAGATGTAGCTATAAGTTATCAAAGAGTGCTAGTTTGATTCCCTTGATTTTTTTCAACTTCGTTGAACCCAACTGAAGACTCGCCAACAGATCTCGTTGTACGTATGTACACTTTATTTTTCAGAATATTTCTTAATCGTATAAATATTAAAAAATTTGCATACATTTGTCAAAAGTAAATTAAAAAGGAAAGTACACGTCATCATCTTCCGCCATTTTATCATCGCCATTGCTTATTGTATACTGTCACGTGACAATATATGTCAGACAAACATCCACGCATTCGGTTTTCCCGCCTTAGATGGTTCCGGTTTTCCTGTTGGATATGGTTTTTGTTTGTACGGTATTACTGCTGGTTTCGCCTTGGCATCACCGTTTTTTCGTTTACATCTAGAATTAATAATTAACATTATATTGGTTTTATAATTTTAGTGCGTTAGAAATTCAAAATGTTCAATAATACAATCACAACAGATTAAAGTTGCTATACATTTATATTACGTCTTTTGCTTTCGTTTTTTTTTTTTTTCCTTTTCTTCTTTTTTCTTGATTTTTTTTTTTTGGGTAAAACAACTCAAAAAGTTTAGTCCGCTTGAGGGTTAACGCAAATTTACAATGGTTAACGCTCCTCAATCATGCGTACACGCTAAGGTAAGTTGTTTTACCCAAAAAATAACAAATCCAAAATAGGTTTTCTTTTTGACATTGAAACATCTTTTTTATTTATATTGTGTCATAGATCAAACTTATTCGTTCAGTGCATATTTACTTGTTTTTGTGTATTGTCTTTTTGATTGAGTTAAGCCATTTCAATTGATATTTTATTGTGTGTCTTTTTATGTTGTAATGTGATACCACTGTTTCAGGTTATGGTGAAGGTTGGCGCCTGTTAATACGTTTAAACCCGCTGCATTTTTATGCACCTGTCTTAAGTCAGGAGCCTGTTGTTCAGTGCTTGTCGTTTGTTGGTGTGATTCATAAGTGTTTCTCGTTTCTCGTTTTTTTTATATAGATTAGACCGTTGGTTTTCCTGTTTGAATTGTTTTACACTAGTAATGTTAAACTTTGTTATGTTATATCTGTACCTAGTACCTTTACCATACCGTTTTATTTATTCGATATTTGTTTTTTTTCTCTCTTTCCTTTCGTGTTTATTCATTTGAACAGGTGAACGATGTCTTTGTTTAAATTGATAGATTGGTGTTAGCTTAATGCCCAGTGGCATATATTGCATACATATTTCAGCACAATATATATTATGTATCTGATATAAGTACGATGAACTACGAAAGTTTGACATTATTGAATGATATGACAAACTCAATGAGATAATCGAATTCTTGCAAAACTCATTAGAAAAGGTTTGTATTTGTATAGTGACTAAAACAAGTGGGATAAATATACTTACACAAAAATACAACAACAGCACGACATGATGTATAAGACTACAGATGCTACGGTTGTGGTTATAATAGCCCAGGTCTTCACTGCAAGGAAAATATTTGTGTATTCTATGTAATATAATGAAACGTGTTAAGTCATAGTGCATTTGTATACCTTTTTGTGTCTATAATGAGTTTATTTTTAAATGGGTTTGGATACTTTTCGTATGTTAATGAGTGAATTCCAACGAAGATGCGCGGTATAAATGTCTATGAGACTACTCTCCACCAGAGACCAAATATGACATAGAAATTAACAGCTATAGGTCACCGCACGGCCTTCAATAATGAGCAAAACCCACACCGCATAGTCAGCTATAAAAGGCCTCGAAATGACACATGTAAAACAATTCAAACGAGAAAACTAACGGCCTGATTTATGTACAAAATAATGAACGAAAAAACAAATATGGTAAACTGTTTGATTAATATTGTTATTCGTTTATTGAATCGCATTGTCATTTTCTGACAATAAAGTGTTCAAGGATTCTAATCACTTAACAACATGTGAATGTGATTTAATTTTTCCCAAGATGCTCTGAACACTACATACTGTTAAAAAACTCAAGTATCTCTCTAACAAAGTTTACAATAGTTGTGTTGTGTTTTTATATGATCGTAAACGGTTTATGTGTATTCTTTCCATAACTTTTTGTTTTTTACAAGAAGACCGATGCAATAAGGGCTATTCGAGTACCATGTGTTGTGAAATCGATCTAGATATAATCTCTATATAAAAAGGTCACAAATCGAAGAATAGACAACGTCATTCCTAAAAATGCGAAAAGAAAAAAATTACAATTTACAAAACATTTTACAGAAACTACAAATTGACAAAAAAAAATCACTAAATGCCGAGGTGAACTCGGGTAATCCATAGACATTGGACATTCTGCTTCAAAAGGGACACCCACGTCGTTGATCATGTGAGGTTAAAACTCGGCACTCTGTCGTATACAGTGACGAGTCAGGAATTAGGAAAGGGTCTTACACTAAATATAGAGTAACTGTAAACAGGCAAACTCTCGTGTCATGACTATTTTCGCTATATTTGCGGTAAAAATTGATTCGCAAATAGAAAACTTGGCAACGCGAATATTTCACGAAAACTGGATTGGTATGACTAAACATTATATTTTTTTTAAATTAGACTTTTTGGGGCCCTTTATAGCTTGCTGTTCGGTGTGAGCCAAGGCTCCGTGTTGAAGGCCGTTATTTGACCTATAATTGTTTACTTTTTACACATTGTGACTTGGATGGATAGTTGTCTCATTGGCACTCATACCACATCTTCTTATTTATATGTATTGATACAACTTGGAAATAGAGAAATTAAAGCATCGCGATTCTGAAGACAATTGACAAATATTGAACAACAGACGGTAAGCTCGGTTTAAATTCATTAAGAAACCCCATCTGTAGTAGCTGATGAAACATGTCGTCTAAGGTATTGGATACTTTAATCTATTGAAATAAGATTCATATCTTTGTATGGTTGTATATTTACTTTTTGTGCATCGTTTTCCATTAAATAAAGTTACACATTCACAAACGAAGTCATTGACTTGGTCCACACAATATCCATATTGACATGGTTCTTTTGCACAATCATTTGTATCTGTAAAAATAAACAATACACATAAACCTTTATGTATTTTAGTCGCAGGCAATCTAAACATATTTCATGAGGTATAAAAAAATGTTATCATGGTTGATAAATGCTTTAAACATTATCTAAAGATGAGGCATTAACCTGACCTGCTGAAAGTCATCAATTTATCATGTCAGAAGGGAAAATAAAACTCATTGTTGAGAATACATCTCAAAAGACAGATAGAACAAAAGTTGTAAATTAAGAAAATATGAAGAAACGCAAGTTCCAACTCCCTGAGGCAAAGTTGAACATGAATTTGGCTATACTTTTTGGTCCCTTTTGGTCATGTACTCATCACCTTTCTTGACTTTCAAAGGTTAGGGTTTGAGTATTCCTGATGGAGGTTCCATGAAAGCGCATCGGACGCACGAAATTTCATAGTGTTTTTTTTTTTATTTTTGTGTTTTTTACAAAGTAGGGTTTGTGATTTATGCACATGTTGGCCTCCAGCATCACTGTTAACATTATAAGTCGAATGCACTTCGTTTGCAGTAATTGTAGCACCGTTAATATATGATTCACGTTAAATTTTTCGATATTTCATTTATGTCCCCATTAGTGCTGGAAAAATGAAAATTACATAATAAAAATGAAATGTTTATTAACATTATGCATATATTTCATCCACTTTAATGTTTGTTACATTTGCATAATTTGCATACTAATGGATCGGGTTTTCTCTGTTATTTTGCAAGCGTTATTTCTATACATATCATAAAGTGACTTACCTATTTGACAATGCAATCCTTCATATCCAAGGTCACACAAACAGATAAATCTGTTTAGTAAAGGAATACAAGTTCCATGCTGACATGGATCACCAAAACAGCTGTATACCGTTCTCATGCCCGTATTTTCTAATCCTGCAGGATATGAATATAAATACTTGATAAAGTATAATCAATATGTATAGAAACAAATATTTAGTTATGTTTTAATTCATTAATAACCAAATCAATGTTAGTACTTATAAAAACAATATTCAAAGATCACATAACAGTAACAGTGTGTTGTTTGTCTGTTTGTTTCATGCTGGTGTCTGTTTTTATTGGGTTTTTGATGCCCACTTGGTACCTTCAATTTTTTTTTGTGTCTAAATCGTTTTTCTGGATCTATCATCACGGAGAACACTCATATCCAAATATTTGAAAACCGAGGATGTATAAGTACTCACAAACATTAGGAGCTAAATTATAAAATGGAACCTAAAAATATCCAAATTCATCTAAGTTTAAAATGCTCAGTATTACAATGTACTACAGCGGGACAAAACAGAGTGACCTGACAAGACATTTGTTCATTTAATAGAGGTTTGATATTTTCTCTCTACCTTTTACAGTTTTCAAGATAGTAGACGAATTAAACATCTTCATTTAAGGGCAATACCTCAAATGAAAATCCGATTGACGATATCGGTCAATTGACTGATTTTCAGATCTTCATTTCGCAGTTTTAGGTTCTAAACACATTCGATTGAACAGTACAGCAGATCATAACAGCCAGCAACCCCCGAAGCTTAGACAAATATATGTGAAAACAACGGCAAAATATTTATATAATTCAAAATTGTTCAATATAATTCGATTGATATATTTTTTGGAGAAAATTGACTCACTTGTGACGACTGTCATTGTTAAATGGAGAAAATTGACTCACTTGTGACGACTGTCATTGTTGTTGCTTTGGTTGTTTTTTGTGGGGTAGAAGTTGTCAGTATGACTGTAGTTGAAGTGACTGTATGTTCTTTAGCTGGAAGAGTTGAAGTGACTGTATGTTCTTTAGCTTGGAGAGTTGAAGTGACTGTATGTTCTTTAACTGGGAGAGTTGCATTGATTGTATCCTCTGTGGCTGGGAGAGTTGCATTGATTGTATGCTCTATGGTTTGTCTTCTTGATATCAGTGGTAATGTAGAAGTCTGTACAGCTAAATGAAGACAGTATACATAAAAGGATATGTTGGATTAATGCAATGAAACAGTCACCCTTTAACAACAAAAACCAAAGGCTAATATGTAATTAGTAAAATTGAGAAAACTGTAAACTGTTTGTGACTTAGATGATGACTAGGGCTGCTTAAAGACAGTGACAAGTATAAAATGCATAAAACTTTAAAATGTGAGATTCCGAATATTATGTTTGCTTCAAATATGACATGTGGCATATATATATCATTTTCAAAAATACAAATGCACATCTCATTACTTACATGTAACTCGTTCTATAGTAGCTTGGTCAACACGAAATATAAACTTTCCTGGAATCCCAACATTGGACATCTGTGTTATATTTATAATACCGGGTGTTTGTGATCCCGGTACAGCATAAAAATGTACCCCATCGCCTGCATCAAATCCAACCTACGTATACAAAACACCTATGATATTTCGTAGATACGATAGCAGATGATCATAAATATTTTTTTGATGAAACACACTTTAAATATGTGTTACATTTAAATCAACAGTAATGCTAAATACATACAATAACATAGTAATAAATTTATATAAATTGATCAGTTTTTACATTTTAACTCTTGTTGCTTTTTCACATGCCTATGGATATTATATCCTTTCAGAGTAATTTAATACTTTTTAGGCAAACGAGGATACAAATGCTGTTATAGTATTATACTACAAGTTCACTGTTAGGATTTGACGGTTTAAAAGGTAGAATTCAAAATGATCATCATTCGACCTGGCTTTTCATGATGTGTTTAGTACAAAAGTTAAAGTCCCATGCTGCCTATAAAATGGTGGAATCAAAATGACGGTACAGTTTGGCCAATTAGACGTGGCGGGTGAGGTTTAGGATTTTTGTCAAATGTTCCGACTCCTTGGATTTTTTCCTACGATAAGGGGTAAAATATTTTGCCCGATAACACCCATTTTTCTTCTCATATAAAACTTCAATAGCTCATGAAATGTCATTTACCAAAATTTAAGCAGATTCTAGATTTCTTTTCTTTCGATTTAAACCCAAATAATACCAATGCAAATATAAGGTAAAAGTCAGAGTCAGCCTTTTCACCATTTTTTAAAAATCAGATATCTCGAAAAGGAGCTCCATAACCTATCAATATTTTTAGCTTATTTTGTTCCTTAACTAATGCTCTTCTGACTTATAGTTTCAATTTCAAATTCTAGATTTTTTATATATTAATTTCATCTAAGTACATCTTTAAATGGTCTCAGAGAAGGTTGTCCGAAGGTGTCATCATGGTAGAACTATAAACGTAATTGAATCAAGATGAAAATAAACAAAGGTCAACTACACATAATGGCACTAAGTATGAAATATCATATCTGTTAAACAGAAGTTGTATTCACAAGGTGTCATTGTCAGAAGATAGTAAAGGAAGGTCCAATTACTTCTGTCAAAATGGCAAAATCAAAATGATGGTATAATATGGTCAACTACATACGATCGCAAACAGTCCTATAAAGTATGAGAGCTATTTGTCAAATGGTTGTTAGACCATTAGTCTGCTAGTATTCATACTTTGATGAGTTGAGCCTTTTTTCAATTAATGTTTTATAGTGTGTCCTTTTATGTCGTATTGTTACACCACTGTCTCATGTTAGGGTGAAGGTTGGCGCCAGATAAAACGTTCAAACCCGCAGCATTTGTTTGCACCTGTTCTAAGTTAGAAACCTGTTGATGTGGTTCATAAGTGTTTCTCGTTTCTCGTTTTTTATATAGATTAGACCGTTGGTTTTCCTGTTTGAATGGTTTTACACAAGTCATTTTTGGGGCCCTTTATAGCTTCCTGTTCGGTGTGAGCCAAGGCTCTGTGTTGAAGCCCGTACTTTGACCTATAATGGTTAACTTTTACAAATTGTGACTTGGATGGAAAGTTGTCTCATTGGCACTCATACATGTACCACATCTTCTTATATCTATTGGAGGAATCAGAAGAGTTGCGTTAATAAGGTGTCATTTTTACAATACTCCAAAACAATGGTCAAAGTCCAACAATTCTCGTAAAAATGGTCAAATCTAACCGACGATATAGCATGTTCAAGAGAATATGACGACAGATAACGGTCTGGACGGATGAGTTAATAGACAGACGGACAGTCGACAAGATGGACTGACGGATACTATAACCATATCCCAGCGACACGAGCTCTATCGGGGATAGTAAATAATGCCTTTGAATATTTTAATATCATTAATTTGATAAGATATGTTCAATTATCCGTTGATAAATATAGAAATTATTAAGAAAACTAGGTTCAAAGACCCTCAGGCAAAGCTAACTTTAGATGGACCTCACTTTTATTTCTATGCCCTTTTGATCAAATAGCTCTTCAATTATTCAATTATTAATTTTTAGAATTGACCGTTCCCGATGATGTTATATTTAGAAAAGCACTTCGAATGCATCAAACACCGAAAGTATTATTTTCATGAACTTATTGTCTGCAATGGTATGAAGCAAATATAAGACATTTCTATAAGACATGTGGATTAACAAGACGATCCATTTTAAAAGTTCAAATAATATATATTATGGTGTAATATTGCGTATAGTTATTACCTGAGCTGGTGTACCTCCAAGACCATTAGATATGTTTCCACCACCGGATGTTCCTGTTGTCCATCGAAACAGGTTATAATTAAAAAAAACAAATGAATGTTTTCCGTCAGTCACCAGGATGCATTGAAACGTACATCTCTGGAAAAAAAACCACGAAAAACTTAAACCATCACAATTATTGTGATTTTGATTACATACTTTTGTGTGTAAATGATACCTGTTTGGTTGACGTTGACATATTAATATTTGGTTGGGTATGTAGTAATTTGCCATGATGAGCCTCGCCAACAATTTGACATATAGCTGAATCAAAGACAACTTTTGTGTATTTGTTTATATCCCATGGTAAAAAAAATTAGGACGGCATTAGTTTACCGTTGTTCAAATCTCATAAATCGACAAAAAAGTCAAATTAAGGTAACACA